CCATATGAGGAGAGATTAATAAGACTGGGACTCTTCAGCTTGGAAAAGAGATGACTAAGGGGGGAATATGCTAGAGGTCTATAAAATCATGACTAGTGTGGAGAAAGTAAATAAGAAAGTGTTATTTACTCCTTTTCATAACAGGAGAACTAGAGGGTCACCAAATGAAATTAATAGGCAGCAGGTTTAAAATAAACAAAAGGAAGTATTTTTTCCACACAACGCACAGTCAACTTGTGGAACACCTGCCAGAGGATGTTGTGAAGGCCAAGACTATAACAGGGTTAAAAAAAAAGAACTAGATAAGTTCATGGAGGATAGGTCCATCAATGGCTATTAGCCAGGATGGGCAGGGATAGTGTCCCTAGCCTCTGTTTGCCTGGGAATGGGCGATAGGGGTTCACTTGATGATTACCTGTTCTGTTCATTTCCTCTGGGGCACCTGGCATTGGCCACTGTCGCAAGACTAGATGGACCTTTGGTCTGACCCAGTATGACCGTTCTTATGTTCTTAGTGATCTAATTAACACAGTGGGAGTAAGAGTTGCAAAACTGGGGTCTCTGTGTCTGTGTTTAACCAACTATAAAGCTGAGATATTAGTGACTATTTCAGAATGGTATTATGAGACTTATTTGATGTTTGTAAAATGCTTTAAGATCCATGGATGAAAAGTTTTATGTATTATTTATTTATTATGTTGCGTGGGCTGGAAAATATTTCTTACCTACTCAGATTGACTCCATGATTTGCTCAGAAAATGACACATTTTTATAGCCCTTATTCTGTAAAGTCAATCACCATTCTTGTTTTTTTTAAATGTGGAATGTCCTGAGTTATTTGATTTTTTGTTTAAGACACATTAATAAACTGTTGACTCTTCCTAAAAGGAGGCAAAATCTGGTTCTTGGAGCCAGATAGGCGATGATGGAAGGGCTTTCCCTACTTTAACCTACAAATAAATCACTGCCCATAAAACACTCCTTTTAGCTCTGTCCCTCTGTTATATCTGTGATGCCTGGCTCTCTCACTTTTATACGTGCAGAGAAGGGGGAGCTTGGTAAAGCAGGCCAATTATACTTATCAGTGTGGGTTCAGATCCACTGTCAATCCATCGGGGTGGAACCTGTCCCCTCCACAGTCCAAGAGGCACATGCATATTTCTGCCTCCCCAATATCATTCTGAAGACCCTAGCTGGGGCATGATACCTTGGGAAGATGAAGGGATTAGGCAGCCACTTAGGCATAACCCAGCCATCATTTGGGGATAGCTTCCCTCCTTAGGTAATACATAGGTCTCTGAAGCTGCGGGTTCACCTGAGCTATGAAGCTGAGTTGGGTTCTGTGTAACATGTGCTGGGACCCAAGATTTGACTGAATGCTAGTTCTACATGGAACCAAACTTTATTAAGAATAAATACGTAAGGATTTTTGGGGATCTAATTTTAAAAGCTCTACTTGTGTTTTCTGTCTCCTCAGATCTGTGGAAAGTGATGTTCACAGTGAAGGATACACACTGGAGCTAGAATGCTGCTCCTCCTTGGACCAACTATCGGACACAAAAAAGATACCAGATTTTATTGAGAAAGTAAGTATAAGGAAAACAACTTGAAAAGGATACAACACACCTAATAACTGCTGCTAGTTGTGTCCATCAGGGCAAATAGCCACTGCAAGTTTATCTTTCCTCCTCCTCCTCCCTGCGTTCTGTATATTTCAAATATTAACAAGGCTTCAGTAAAGTTTGCTACTCTTCTATGATTCCAATATCTGGATAGCATCTTCTCGTTATAGTGACTCAAGTAGATGTTAATGAACTTGTTTTACCACTGTACAATCTATCCATGCACTGTCATTGACTGTTGTGCACAGTCTCAGCTAAAATAATATTTCCGTCTTGGTGCCAATTGTTTGGAATTATTTGAGTTTAAAACTTGGATAATACTGTAGATAAAGAGGCTCATTATTTCCCAGAGTTGTCCTTACATAGAATTATTTTAAGCCAGATGTGTTCAAACTTTCAGTCAAGTTCCCCCCTTACCAGTAACGGAATCTGTCTGTGCCCTTCCCCCTTTTACTGCACAGCCAAGGCTTCCTCAGCAGCAGAGCTGGTGCTGAAGGCAGGGCTGGGGCTGGAGAGGGAATGAGGACAGAGCCAGCCTGGGGGCAGGGAGGAGCAGAGGCTG